CCGGCCCGCGTGCTGCTGTCAGCGCTGCTGCATGAGACCCGCGCCGGGCCTACCGCTGTGTGCTTCCTGCGAGGTGAGAGCCCGGCCCTCCGGCTAACCGTGCTGGCCCTCCCTTCCCCGCCCTCCCGCTAACCTTGCCTGGCCTTCCCCGCAGGAGGCTTCGACGCCTTCCTGGCTTGCTGTCCCGACCTGTGTTCTGAGTCCCCTGCCCCGGCGATGTCGCCTGCTGGGGCCGAAAACAGCCGCTCAGACCTCAGGGCTCCTTTCTATGACCAGGTGAGTTGAGATCAGGGATCTTTGTCACTGTCCCCGTGTGTATGCCTGGCATAAGTGGCTCGTGAGCGCCTCCATGGGTCTGTGGATGTCTGCAGCTTGTTTGAGAGCTGGGGAAGCGGGAGCGTGTGAATCTGTGAGGGGACATCTCTGTGTGTCCCCCGTGGCCTCATACTCGCAGTGGATCCTGGTCAGGCCTGGGCGGAGCTGACCTCATTCGCGCCCCTCCCCGTCCAGGGTGGCCCGGTAGAGATCTTGCCCTACCTGTTCCTGGGCAGCTGCAGCCACTCATCGGACCTGCAGGGGCTGCAGGCCTGCGGCATCACCGCCGTCCTCAACGTCTCCGCCAGCTGCCCCAACCACTTTGAGGGCCTTCTGCGCTACAAGAGCATCCCTGTGGAGGACAACCAGATGGCGGAGATCAGTGCCTGGTTCCAGGAGGCCATATGCTTCATTGGTAAGAAGGTGCCTAGGCTCGGACGGGAGGAGCTCAGGGGCGGGACTGGGGCACCGGTGTCCCCCCCACCTTCCCGCCTGATCCCGCCCATCTCTCTTGCAGACTCGGTGAAGAACAGTGGGGGCCGGGTACTGGTGCACTGCCAGGCAGGCATCTCACGCTCGGCTACCATCTGCCTGGCGTACCTCATACAGAGCCGCCGCGTGAGGCTGGACGAGGCCTTCGACTTTGTTAAGCAACGTCGGGGTGTCATCTCGCCCAACTTCAGTTTCATGGGGCAGCTGCTGCAGTTTGAGACTCAGGTGCTGTGTCATTGAGGCAGGCGGAGACACACAGAGCTGCGGTTCCTGGCCAGCTGACTGGGGACAGTTGGGCTCCCCTCGGGCCCCCTGCCAGTCCCCCTCACCTCAGTTTCGAAAGCCCTCAGGTGGGGGCCCTGGGGGTGTAGGAATGCTGGACCGTCTCACCTGGTGCTCTTCTGCTAAGGGTCTGAGGGCCCGCTCTCATTCAGCGATGAGAACGAAGGGTTGCTCTGCTTCCCTCCCTCATCCTCTGGCAGAAACTACCTGGACTCTACACCCATGAACTCACTGGTCCCACAACCATGTTGAAGCCCTTGGCAGACTGAGCGCCCCAAGGAACAAGCTGTGACAACCAGAGCCCTGTCTGGGGGTGGTACACCCTGGAGCCCTGTGTTCCTGCAGGGACGTGGGCTTGGGGGAGCGCTGTGTCCTTTTTGCGTGTGTGGATGTGAGCATTTCATGCCCCTGTTGGTGCTGGAAAATTATTTGTATTGAACTGACAGTTAACACTCCCTCCCCCACTTCCTCCCAGCCCCGTGGGTGGGGCTGGAAACTTAGCACTTTATATTTATACAGAAACTTGAGGATGTGTCAATAAAATATTGTTTTGTTTAAAAAACAACTTCTCAAGCATCTGGTCTCAAGTCAGTGCCCAGGAAAGTGTTTAAAAGCTGTTTCCTAAGCAGAACTCACCTTTCTTTGTGCCTGGAGCCTGGGCACCAAAGGGAGAAGTTGTAAGTGGGCCCTCACAGGCAGGAGGCTCCCTCCCAGCCCCAGCTCTCTGGTGCGGGTGGTCTTTTCCTGGGCAATGTCCTGTCTCAGCTGAACAAGGTGGTTCTGGGAGGCTGGCTCCAGTCTTATTCCTGTTACTGGCTTTGGTCCTGTGGGGAAAAAGCTGGGTCTACGACTCAGAACTGGGCCCAGCACTGCTCTAGTCAGACCCCACTTCCTTTCTGGAGCATGTGGATGGGTGTGTGTATACCCATGTAAGTGGCTGTCCTATGGTTGTGGCTGCCTTGTTCTTGGCCTGCACACACCTACATGGCATATGTGTGGACCTTCCTACATCCTGCATGTGTCTGCATGTACCCCAGGGTGTGGCTGTCCCCGTACTGTGTGCCTGTAGCAGGCCTCCATTTGCCTACCATCGGGCAGCACAGCTTCTCCCCTCCACATGCCCAGGCTGGGCCCCCAGGTCTCAGAATGCCTGTCCATGCCTGTCTCCTGTTCTGGAGCTCTTTGTCCCCAGAAGGCATGTGGCCTGGTGTCTGGTGTGGAGGACATGTCACTGGTGATGGGCTTCGTCACTCTTCATGCTGACCCAACTAAGGTGTCTTTACTGAACACCAGTGACAAGCTCAGATGTGCAGGAAGAACGAAGTGTCTGGGAAGACATGAGACAGGGCCCAGCCAGGCCAGCACGGGGGCACCTGCCAAGGCTGCCGGCGGAGGGCGGGGTGTGGAGGCCCGGCCTGCTTCAGCCTCCACTCTGATGCGCTTCCAGACACTCGGACACTTGGATACTTGGAGCGCCATCTCACTAACTGTATTTTGTCCTTCCGGACTCAGCTCAACGGTCACCCTGAAGAACACCGTCTCTTACTGGGGCACACCTCAGTGGGGCAGTGGAGTTTGTTTGTTCATTTATTTTATTTTATTTTTTTAGATTTTAGCTATTTGGTTATTTTTATTTAATATTTTTACTTCTATATTAAATTGGCAGAGTAGCTTCTGATGGTTAGAGGGCCAGTTTTGCTTCACCTCGTTGTACTTCAGTTTCCTTGTCCAGAAAATAGGGTTTTATCACGAGCCCCCACCTGTTAGGGTGGTACTGAGAGTGAAACAAGTGAATGCACGTCAAGCCCCTGCACCTGTGCCTAATAGGTGCTCAGGAAGTGTTAGCTCCTGGCGTCCGAGAGGGGAAGATTTTCAGGTGTACTATCATGCCTCTTGACCAGTCTGGATGCTCACGAGGGTGGGGCCTGTACTCTGCTGAGCCCCGCATGAGTGTGGCACGAGAGGACACTCAGTCCATGTAGCTAAATGAAAGACAAACAGCCTGTCTGCTACCCAACTCTTGCTCCCTCTGCTCCCTTCTGAGAACTTTCACTGAACCCTGCACTTGCCCCCCATGGTGCCTTGTGCCCAGCTTCTCCCCACGCTCTCACTCATCTCAGCCAAGCCAGGAAGGCTCTACTGGGGGTCCAAAAGGCTTGGGTCTGGGCTGGGGGTGGGGAACACCGCGGGAGTTGGTGGGGCTTCAGGTGGAGTTGGTTGGGGAGGAGCTACAGGTGGGGGCTGGAGAAGCTGCTATTTAAGGAGGGGCTTGCTCTAAATCTGCAGCCTCATCCAGGTGGATTTGAGCTCCTACCGGCCCACCAGGCCCACCATAGATAGCACAGCATGGGAGGTCTCTGGCCTTGGGTGCTGGGTCTGCTCTCTCTGCCAGGTAAGCCGCTGCTCACTTTCCTATTTTGGCTCTAGCCTGCAGTGCTTGGAAGAAGCTGAAACCTGTAGGGCTCCAAGTTGGTCCGAATGGCCCAAGACTGGGTTCTTCAGGAGCGCCCCCTAGAGTCAGCTCCTGGGGCCCCAAGGGCAGGCCTCCTGAAGACCCTGGGAGCAGAGGGCCTGCCTGGCAGGAGGTGGCAGGTGTGGCACTTGGACTCCTTGTTCTGCTGGCCAGGCCAGGCTTTCCCAGGCTGAGCCCAATCTCCAGAGGCCTGGGCTGAGGAGGGGGCCGTGTGGCAGGGTCTGAGGCTAGCCTGCACCCTGCCATCAGCGTTGGAGCCTGAGGTCCTTCCTGTTGCCTCTGCTACCTCAGACACAGACACTCAGAGCTCAGGGCTGCTCTTGGAGCCCAACTTTGGTCTTGATAAAGGATCCCCTTTCAGAGTGGTCTCAGCCTTGGTGCCAGCGGGAGCTGGGAGGGAGGCTGCGCAGGCTCCCAGGACACGTTGCGGGAGGCCATGCTGCCCTTAGCGAAGCTCCTGGGTCCTGGGTCTCTGTGTCCCATTGTCTTCTCTCATTGGGGGCACTTCGGCCCCATGTGTCTGGGCCAGGTTGGATCCTAGGAGCAGCCCCAGCCTCCAGCTGCCCAGGAGCCTGTGGGAACAGCTTCTCAGGCCTTGCCTCTGAGGAAACCCAGACGTCTTCGGACAAGGACATCCCTGCGATTAACCAAGGTGAGAGTCCTGTGTCCTGTCATGGGATGGCAGGCACAACATCATCCAGGTGGTGGGGAGAGAGCTATGCTGAGTGCTCAGCCAGGCAGGAGAGGCTAAGGGGAAGCACGGAGCCTGTTTTTGGGCCCCTGTGCGTGGTCTGCAGACAGCTTCTTCCAAGTCAGCGTTTCTGTGTCTCTGCGTCTCCTCTGCCAGGCTGCTACTTATAGCAAGCGGGGAAAGCAGGGTTTTTATAAATGGCCTCATGAAAGCAGGGGTCCCTGGGGCTTTCCATGTCTGGCGCTGGGTTCAGTCATTGATGGACTCTTGAAAACAAGTCAGCCACCTGGTTGCAGGTGTGAGGGGATGAGCTGGGGATACAGACAAAAAGCAGCAGAGGCCCAGGGCCTCCCTGTGGGGTCTTAGGTGGAGAGTGGAATATGCAGACATCCTGGTACCAAGCTGATCGAAACAAAGACTGGGGTTCAGACACAGATGCATTGGGGAACAGGGTGACCTTGCCCTAGGGGTTGGCACTGCAGATGTGGTAGCCACCATAGGGTGTGCCCTTTCCTTGCTCTGTGAGCTGACCTGGAGCAGGGCAGGATGGAAGCTTTTTGTCACGGTGACCCATCTGGAGGTAGCCAGACTCAATCTGAGGCTTCCCTGGCATTGGTTTTGCAATGCTGTGGAGACCCTCTCATCTTGCACTTTCAGGACTGACAATTAGGTACCCACCAGTAGCAGCGTTCCAGCTGCTGAGACCCCGCAGATAAAGACCCGTGGCCAGGGATGCTGGGAGGCTGCTCCATCCACAGCCAGGGGGGTCCACACTGACTCTTGGGGACCTGGCACTGGCCCTGCCTCAAGGTGGGCCAAGCCTTATTGGGGCCCGGGGTGGGAGCAGGGCTGAGCCTGGCTCTTCCTGGCACTCTAGCTTCCTTCAGTCCCTCGGGACACCCCTTCAGAAGCCTCCTAGCTGGGGCTCTGTTTCTAGGGAGCCCAGCCTCAGGAGCCTGCGGGGTACCAGACCCTCTTCAGAGATTCCTTGTGGGGCTGAGATCTCAGGAAAGAGGCAGGTGGTGGAGAAGGGCTGCCGCTGTGGCAGGAAATGGGTGGGAGAGAGGGAGGAGAGACAAGCTGAGAAGGGAGGAGTGGGAGGGATAGAGAGGGCCAGGCTCCTGGGAGGCAGTACTCATCCCCTTCCTGTGTGCAGGAAGCTGAAAGTTCTGTCACTTGCCACCGCCAGGGTCCTGAATACCACACAGAGGGGCAGGAGTTAGATAGGGTTTCAGGTGGGACGAGAGCCCAGGGTGTGCCCCAGTGAATGTGGCTTAGGCTTAGGACGAAGAAGGTAGAGGCTGTTCCCTGACAGCAGAGGGTCCTCCCTGCAGGAGGCGGGGATTAGGACCCTGTCCTGTGCGCCTCAGGAGCCACAGACTGCATTTGAGCAAGGGAAGGGTGCGGGCAGGCTGAGAATCATCACACTGCGGATTGGGGCTTGGGGCCACATAGCCTCAGTGCCCAGGGGAGATCTGGCTCAGAGCTGGCGTTGCCTGGCCTGATAGCCAAGGCCTCTGCTGGGCCTTCTGGAGAGCCTGTGTCCTGGAGGACTGAGCCCACACACACTCCTCCCTTTCTTCCCAGGACTCATCCCAGAGGAAACCCCAGAGAGCAGCTTCCTCCTCGAGGGGGACATCCTCCGGCCGGTGAGTGAGGGTAGAGGGTAGAGGCCAGGATCCTTCTTTGTCACTCATAGCCTGGTAGACACCTCCTCTTGCCGAAGTCTGAGCATATGTCCTATTAGGAATAGCCGGCCTGAATGCAAAGCAGGCAACATCTGGAGTGGCGGCATTCTGGGAGGGCTTCCTGAAGGAAGGGCTTTGAACCCTCATGACCCAGCTTGGTACCCTGCCCAGGGGAGGTGCTCAGGAAGTACTGGGACGAGAGGAGAGAAGCACAGTTTGGCAGGGTGGTGGGAGGGCTGGAGGTAGGTTTGGTGAACATCGGGGTTGGCTACTAGCCTGGGAAGGCAGAACAAGAAGCAATGTAACTGCCATCCTGGCAGGGGCTGGAGGGCGGAGTCAGAAAGGACTGGGTGGGAATTGGGGCAACTTGCCAATGGAGAAGGGAACCCGTGGCTCAGCAGAGTTGTATCACTCTTAAGGAACTAGAGTTGGCAGAAGGCTCCAGAACAGGATAGTGACCTGGTGAGAGCAAGGCTGTCTATGGTTTGGAGGCCGCCTATAGATGGCACACATGAGGCTGGGGTGGAGAGCCAGAGGCAGACCCAGGGCTGGACAGGGTCCCTGGGACTGGGACAAGCAAGGCCCCTGTTCTGCATCTCCCATTGAGTTGGGGGTAAGAGTAGAATCCGGTAAAACTGTTGGCTCGTGGGGCAGGACAGGCCACGGCTGTGAAGCCTATGCTTCAAAGGGTTTTGGTTGGTAGAAGACAGGGTAAAAGCTGCCATGGCCAGGGGTGTTTCCTCAGAATCAGGCTGGGGAGGACTCTGTCTCCATCTTTCCACTGCACATGCAGGCAGCTTAGGACATGCTATGTATGCTCTGGGAAGGGGCTGCCAGTGGGGCTCTGAGCACTTGTGGACCCAGCCCCCTGGGTGCTGGGATGCCTACCCAACACTCAGGGACAAGTTTATCTGCTTGATAGAATCAGCTGCAGGTTATGTGTGCTGCAGAATAAAGGCTGTGTTGTGCAGTGCAATTCACACAGCCAACTTCCCAGCTTCTATCCAGTTTCTAATGGCCTCCCACCCTCATGCCTAGGCCCTGTCTTTCAGATCTTTAGGGCTCTTGTGGCCTGAGGTGTGGCACCCTTGGGGGCAGGAAGCTTGACTGGCCTATGTCCCCAGGAGTCCCTGAACTCTGCCCTCTTTCCTTAGAGTCCCTTCCGCCTGTTCTCAGCTACCAGCAACAAGTGGCCCAAAGATGGGGACATTGTGGAGGTCCCCTTCCTGCTCTCCAGCCAGTATGGTGAGTGAACACTTGGGGCCCAGTGCCTATTCCCATTGCAGCCTGGGCTCAGCTCTGGGTTTTCTCTTCTTCCTCTACGTCCCCATACTCCTCCACCAGCACCATCCAAAGAGCCCTTCCGCTAGAAGTCAACACTTTTTTTTTTTTTTTTAATAAAGAAGAGGTGGTACATATATACAATGCAATACTACTCAGCTAGGAAAAAGAAGAACCATTTGTGACAACGCAGATGGATCTTGAGAGTGACGTGCTCAGTGAAATAAATCAGATAGAAAAGGACAGAAGCCATATGATTTCATTCATATGTGGGATATAAACAAAGTAACAGATGAACTAACAACATAAAAAATTGGACTACCTGATCCATTCTGAGACCCCCACAGCCCAGGGAACAGTGACCTATCTGAGGTCACATGGCCAGGGTTTGTCTGGAGCCAGCTTTCTTCCCCTGACACGATCATGCTGCCCTTTCTTGACACCCCACAGCTCAGATGTGTCCCCTCTCGCCCTCACGTAGAGGTTCAGGGCACGAGAGCTCTGGGGGCCTGGCCAGGGGTTCAGCCAGGGTGTCCTTTCTCCAGATGATCCCAGCCGCGAGGTTATCCTGCAGGCATTTGCTGAGTTTGAACGCTTCACGTGCATCAGGTTTGTCACCTACCATGGCCAGAGAGACTTCATCTCCATCGTCCCCATGCCCGGGTGAGTGCTCCTGGATGTGTGCCTGTACATGCGTAAGCATGTGTGTGCAAGGTGTGTTATGCAGCTTTCTTCTGAGTTCATCCTGGGATGGAGTGAGCTGTTGTCTAGAACCTACTTCTGGGGCTGATCTACCTAGGTCCAATCCCCTGCTCATTCAATGTGAACTGTACTCGCAAGCCTCAGCATAGCAGGCTGGATTAGGGGGGTGGTCAGTGGTTGGGGAGGCAGTTAGGTGCTTCCTTTATAAGCCCTCATTCCCGGGAGATCTCATAGTCTGGTGGGAAAGTGCAAGTTTGCTGGGACAGAACTGGCCTCTGGTCCAGGTTCCACAGTGCAGGAGCCACCTGACTGCAGGCAAGTCCCTTAATTCTGTGCTTTTTTGCCTTCTCTCTGTACTGAGGGTGGTGTAGCACCTACTTCCTAACTTGTCAGGAGCCTGAGCTAATGTGTGTGACAACTTTGATTCAGGGCTGCCCTGTGGGTACCCTCACTTAATGAGCTGCTTCTGTCACCCACATTAGTGTCAGCTCTCACCTCCTCCTTATAGCCCAGGCTGGTAATGGGGCTCCAACACACCCACTTCCCAGAAGGCCAGGCAGTAATGGGGCTTGAGAATCACAAGCCTGGGACTAAAGTCCAGGATGGCGGTGACATGTTAGTCTCATCCACCCCAGGACTTGGGAGGAGGGGAGGGGCTGGATCTGCTCTGGCTCTCTGGGCCGGTGCCCACTGAGATCACTGTCATGGCCCTGCAGGTGCTTCTCCAGTGTGGGGCGCAGTGGAGGAATGCAGGTGGTGTCCCTAGCACCTACCTGTCTCCAGAGGGGCCCGGGTATTGTCCTGCATGAGCTCATGCACGTGCTGGGCTTCTGGCACGAGCATGCACGGGCCGACCGGGACCGCTATATCCGTGTCAACTGGGATGAGATCCTTCCAGGTAAGCCAGGGGATGCAAAGGCCAGGCCAGGCCTGAGAGTCCATGGAGAGAGGGCTACAGGTATGGGCCAAGGCCCATGGAGTTGCCTGGCTGTTTGGAAGAGTTGTCCATCTTCTCCACTATCTGCCTGTCTCCCATGGGGAAGTTCGGGTGGCCTTCCTTCCTGAGACCTGGAAAGTGGACCAGATGCTGTTGCTCTGGGCATTAAGCCTTTACCTGTCCACCCAAGTCATGCCCAGGATGTAACATTGTCATTTCTCCTCATGGGCACTGTGGGTTACCTGAGGATGGGTTGATGGCATCCTATGACCCATGCTTATCGTGTACCCATCTAGCAGCTCCTCATGTGCCAGACACCACTGTGTGTGTAGGGGTGGGGTAGGGAGTGGGCTGTGTTCCAGCCGGGGGTGGGGCTGAGCCAAGCAGAGGCCTGGTAGTGGGTAGTGGGCAGCGTGTGCCCAGTGTCAGAGACAAGTGGCCGAGGGCTGTGCTGCAGGAGCTTGGTGCCTGTGTGGGCACACTGGTGGCCATGTGGAACTCAGGAATACTTGTGATAACTCATGACAGCCATGAAAACTTCCAGTTTGAAAATGTGGAATTAATACAAATGGTTTGATCATGATGTAAAGTAAAAAGTAGAAACTAATAACAAATCAAACCTAAAAACTTCTTCTACTTGAAAATTAAAGTTCAAAAACAAACTGCAAACCTTTCTTTTAGCTCTGGGGTTAAAGAAATTGCAAGAATTCTAAAAAAAAAAAAAAATGTAATATGCATTAGAACTAATGGTTCACAGCTAAAGTAAGACTCAGGGAAAGGAAAATGTGTAGACTTAAATGCTTACTTTGTTCTATTTTTATTGATATAAGTATTTCAATTTAAGTTAAGAAAAAAATAAAGTGGAAAGGAATTAAGGTAAAAGCAAGAATTAATGAATTAGGAAACAAACAGCACTAATAAGCTCAAGAGCTGCTGCTTAACAATAAAACGGGTTAAAACACCTGCTACTCTAATGGGAAATATTACTTAAGAATGGAGAAAAATGAGAACATATTTGTATTTAGTTAATATGTATGGAACAGACTCTGCTAGGATACACGAACTATTAACAGTAATAAACTGAGGGTGGAGGGTGAGGATGCAGAAGAGGACGGAGTGGGAGACTTATTGTATATCTTAAGCTTTTGATTTCTGAACCGGATGAATATATTGCCTATTCCATATTATATTGAATAATATAAAGATTTTTTAAAGGAATAAAACACTCTTGATGGGCAGGTATTTCAGGCAGGTGATGGGATGCCATTTGATTCATGGTGAGGGGGCTGCTGGTGCGCAAAGGTGACCATAGGAGAGTATGAACGTAG